TAACTTAAAGATTTTCTTTTTTCTGGGCAAGTGTATTTGCAGATTGTTTTTCTTCTGTCACTTGCAGTCAGTAGGGGTCATGTACTGTGAAATGACTCACGTGCAACATGTGAATAAGAACCTCCAATTATCTCTTTTAAAAATTATGTTTAGATGAACACCATTACAGCTTTCTGGCTTTATTGTTGGTGTCTGTTTTGTTTGGGGGTAAACCATAGCTTGTTTCAATAGTGTATGCATTAAAATAAAAAATACACATAAGAAGCAAGAGAGAAAAAGAACCTTTTCATCATTTTTTAATTACTATTTGGAACACTTGCCATTCCTCCAGAAAGTGGGAAAGTTAGTTGAATGAAGAGTGCAAAACTGGGTATAAATTTGGCAAAATTTCTATTATGGCATTGATTCTTTTATATAGACGTATATTTTGGAGTGGAAGTAAATTGTAAAATAGTTGGCTCTCATGTTTGTATAGATTTATTCTAAATTTAATATTCTTTTTTGAGAGGCTTGGTGGTCAGTCATAACATCGTGTATATATGGGATATGCATTTAACATAACCCAGTGAAAAACAGGTATCCTGCATGAAATGGAATGTACATATTCTCCTTGGAAGAATTATTATTATTTCCACAGTTAGGAGTAAACACTTGTTGGAAACATGAAATGACAGATAGTATTTATTGAAACCCCTCTGAGAATTTCAAAGCTTTTTTCCTATAGAAAGTAATGGGAAATAGGCACGCAGGTTCCTAAAAATCTTGTAAATTCTCAAGCTGTATGGTCAATGAAAAGCATTAGAGTAAATGAAAGAGAGATTTAAAGAAAGGACATATAAATTGTGTGTCTTGGCATTCATTCTTCTAGAGCTACCACAGAGGTTGGAGTTTTTTTCAGTGTATTTTTGTATCTTTGAAATCACAGATTAAAAAGAAACAGGTAAGAACATGACAGATCAAAACTTTAAGAAACCAAAATAAAAAAATTTTGCAGTTTTTCGACTTGAAGACTTTGACTCATGACAGTGCTGTTCAAGAATGTTGAGGGCTGCAGAAATAGATTATTCTTTCCTCATTTAAGGTTAAGGTAACACATGGAAAGATTCCTGTCTTAAATGATCAGTACAGAATTATTGCCTTAACTCAGAGATTATCAGGAATCACAGCCACTTTGCAACCACTGTAATACTAATGACCAAAACTACATGTAAGTTACAGATGTTACTAATGGTGGATGAAAAATAAAGAAGTTTGCTCTCTGTCCTGTCCTGAATAAACTTATGCCCTACTAGTACCCTTAAATCCTTAAAACATGGAAGTGACCATTTAAGACAGTGGTACGTGAATTTGTAACGTGGTTCAAATCATAGTTTTCTATGAGCAAATGAAATATATTTTGTTAATTCTTCTTGACTGACTAACTGCTGGTGCAGAAAAATAACTTTTCTGGATGTTTTAAAAAAGTGATATTGCTGGGATTAATCATGCAGGCTGTACTTGGACAGAATTCCTTCTAAAGTCAGTTGCACCTGTGCCTAATACGAAAATGTGGAAACATGCCCAAGAAGAGCATTCTATGCTCAGAAAGCATTTGTTTTTATATTCTGCCATTAGTCCAAATACGAAGTCTGGCACTGCATTTCATGACGCGTGTTGCTCCACTAGTTCTGTCTAGAAACAAGCTCTTTTCTGTGTAAAATATTTTTACTCTTTCAAGTCAGTATAACAAACAACACGAGGAAAAATTATTTTCTCTGAAAACTTCATGAATTGAAAATGTCGTAAATTTACAAATTCTGACATATGCCCTTTAAAACTTGCTCATCTACTGTTTTTATTTTCATTATACATTACAAGTTATATCCGTAATGTTTAAAAATGCTCTATTCCAGCAAAAATATGGCTTTTAACCAAGTAAAAATGTAAAGCCAACTTGCTCTAAAATCCATCTGGTTTTCATTTTCTTATAATCTATAATCAGGAAATCCATTCATACATGACATATAATTTTTGCGCTTTCAAGTGGATAGTGGAATGCGATGTTCTGCATACAGTCACATCTAAATTGATAATTGTCCAGGCAGAGTGTAATTTTAAAGTATAGGATGAAGGAAGGCTTAATTTGTATATTAGAAGTCTTATATATTTTTTGCCTCTGAATGTAAATGAGGCCGTTCTTTTCGGTGGATTTATCTGAAGGTGGGACAGCTGCCTCAGAGCAGGCCGCAGCTTTCTGAGTAAAGAGGATACGGTTTAAAGAGCTGGTTTAAATGCAGACTCTTCTTAACTGTAAACCGCATGCATGCATTCATCATTGATTTTCAAATGATGGGTTTCTGTATCATTGGTTTAAAGTCCACAGTCTTACATTCCTGAATCCACTTTATACCAAAAGAATAACAATTTGGTGACTGGAAAGAGGAATGGTTATTATATGGCTCCAAAATGCTAGCTGGCATAATATGCCATGAACAGCAGACATCCACTGGTAAAGAGAAGATTGCAGTAGTTCTTAAAAATAATTTTATGTTCTAAAAATATAAATGTAAGAAATGTTATCACTGCTCAAAATATCTTACATCAGAAGGTAAATAATATAAAGGTCAGACGACAGTTTCTGAAGAGTGAAGTTTGATGTGGATGCATTCTTTCTGTTAATTTCTAACAAAATTATATTAACTCTTCTGTAGAATATGGGAGTTCTCTCATGTAAGGGTTTCTGTTCTCTGAAAATCACAATCATGGAAACAGATTACAGTGCACGCTATTTCATTAAATGTCTTGGGTTGTATATTGTAGAACTTAAAAAAAATACAGACTAGTTTTTTAAACAGCTTCATTTTCACTCTATGGACAAATACTTGTCATACAACAGATTTCACAAGGCAGTTTCGCCTCCTTTTGGTAAAACAACTCCTGTATGGAGCCTGCACCAGAGAAAATCTACTTTTGCTTCAGTTGATCACTTCTCCACATCATTACTGTTTTTCAGTATTCAGCTTGTGAAAGTTCCATTTTTAAAAGGCACTATAGTTTGTTGTGTACTCAAAACATCCCTTCTAATTTCACCGCCTCTAGTAACACATATCATTAATTAAAGCATAATATGCATCGAATCCATGTTGAGAGCAATTGTTTGTTTAAAAAAAAAGCCTACTGACACAAAATGGAAAATTCTTGACAGTGTTCTGCTATTTTAGCTTGATAAGTGTAAAATACACTTTCTTTCATTAACTCATTTTATTTCATTAACCGTTAGGATATTATTAAGGAAATAAACAACAAGATTAACTATGAAAAATATTTTAATACCAAATCGCTGAAGTTATCTTAGTGCTTCTAAATTTTCATCTTAATTCTTTTTTGCAAAGGCTTGGGAGATCCTTATAATAAAAAGGATAAGGCTAAACAAGCCAGACCAGACCAGTGACTGAAGGTACCTCACAGATATGGAAGTCAGTCACCTTGTGACACTTCTCCTGCATCCTAAGCCTAGTGTTCACAGTACAGGGTCTTCCAGAGCCCAAAGTGGTGGCTTTGTATTTAATAGCCTTTGACAGACTTTTTTTCCTGTGGATTTGCTGATCTGATAAATAGAATTAGCTGATGTTCTTGTGGATTAAAAATCTGATTTAAAGTTGGTCATGCTTGGACACGCTTCGTTATCCTAACTAGAAGACAGATTCACTCTCACGTACTGTCATTTTTATGCCCACCTCATAGACTTTATCAGATTTAATTCCATAATCCATTTATGTCCTTTATTGCTGTAAACTCCATTTCACATGTGAAAAAAAAAATAAGTGTGAGACTGAGTTCTTCACTGACTTTGGGAAATTCACTGACTTCAGATAAATTTGAAGGTCCAGGGCTTCTAACTCATAGGGCTTTGCCACACGCACCAGCTCATTTTCCCAAATTATTTCTAGGTTGCATGTTGCAGCTTGTGAGCCATGAACAAAAGATGAGCCTAGAACAGAAAGTCTCCTCTAGCATTTGTTTTCTGGGTATTTATCTGTGAAAGTTTTCTCTTTCTCTAGTCACATTCATGCTGTTCCCTCTCTATGAATGGACAGTATCTCTCTTAAGCCTGTGCAGAATTTCAATGCTACACCAAAAAGTCATCTCTTTCCCCAGACTTGGTGTGTTTAAGAGGTGAAATTAGGTGGATGAAATAGGAAGGTATCATTTTTAGTGGAACGGTGCATCAGTAACCTTATGGATATTCAGTTGTCAGTACTATGGGGCGAGAGAAGGAAACCCTTTTCTGAAAAGGGCAAATGAAGCATTTTCCTGTCAGAATTGTTTCTGGGGCCTGCAGAAAGGAGCAGAGAGATGAAGATGAAAGATACGGTAGTATTTCCCAAATAAGGTTATGCTCTTGCTCCTATTGACTTTCGTGTTGACAGAATCAGGTCCGCAAAGTGTGGTGAAAGAGAGCCAAAAACATTTAAGAATCTTCTTAGTCCTCCCCCCTGCCTTTTCTGGAAATTATAGCCCTGCTATACTCATCCTTTGTTTGAAAACAAAACAAAATCATGACCTGGAAAGGGCTGAGTCAGGCAAGGCAGAATCCTCTGTAGTTGTCAAGAAAACACAGCACAGCTTTCACATTTTTTTAAGCCATAGGATTGTCTGATTTGCCTGATTCTCTTGTAAGGCAGACACTAGTTCTTGGCTGCTTTGAGCACACAGTATATTGTGCTTTGTACTATAGTATTGTAAACAGAGTTGTGTCATCAAGTTAATTTCAGCCCATCACTGAGATGTCGGCTGCTGTGAGAGAAAGCATTTCAAGACTAGTTGTTCCAAACGTGACATGTGTTGTATTTTCCTGTAAAGATACATTACATCACACAGATATTTAAGTTGAATTGTCTTATATTTTACATTTTCAGTCAAGTCATTTTTAGTCCAGCCTTAAGAAATATACTGAAGTTTATAATCCTTTTCTCTGTGTTTTCTTTTCTTTTCTTCTTCTTTTTTTATGACCTAAACAGGAAATGGATATGGCAACCCCCGCAACTCACCAGGTCTGCTGGTCTCACCTGGCAATTTGAACAAGAATATGCAAGCAAAATCTCCGCCTCCAATGAATTTGGGAATGAACAACCGTAAACCAGATCTCCGTGTGCTTATTCCACCTGGCAGCAAGAATACTATGCCATCAGTGGTAATGCATTTTCAAAACTTTTTTAAATATCCCTCAGATAACAGATATTTAGGAACTTGAAGGCCTGCTCAAGCAACTAAAATCAGCAGAGAAACATTCCACATTCTTGGTTGTTTGGTCTTTCTGTGTAACCTTAAGGCTTGACATCAAGCTGAGGATGTAGGCAGGGCCTGTTCGATTGCTTTTATGAAGCCATATTTGCTTCCTCCTTTTTTTCTGTTGACTTGCAAAATAGGAACCGTGTCCTGCACAGTCTAAACTTCTGCACTCTCTTTCCTAGTAGCTGGAAGAGCCCATCCTAGATTTGTTACCAAGGCTAAATTTAACCCCGAATATTCCTAACCTACTGTGTTTTTCTTAAATATTTAGCCACACAGACTTTCAGCAGATGGCAGATTAACTAGAAATAAATTAATTTGAACTCTATCACTCTGAACTCCAAAGCCAAATTTTATAGTGATGAGAGATAGTAAATAGATAGAACAGGATAAGAGCATGAAATTGCTGTGTCTTCGGCCAGGATTAACAAAATTTAGGCAGGTTATTATGGTAGAAGGTTGAATTGGGAAGGTGTGATGTGTGCATCATGTAGTTCTCTTCTGAAAGACAGTTAATGGTTGCAAGTAAATTCTTCATTATTTGACATTACAAGTGAGCTTAATTTAAAGAGGATCATGATGGTAAATTTAAGTCACTCTATAAACACATTTTTCCATTATGTAAAACAACTTCCAAATTGGCTACTTTAGCTTGACGCATAATAAATTAACTTTGAACATCAAACTAACCCTCCCCACATAAATGTGATGCTGCCTTCTGAGAGGATAAGTAACAAATGTTCTCCTACAGGGCAATGCTCAAAGTCAACCAAGGCAGTGACAAGCTGTCTGCATCAAATGATTTATTCCAAGGTCCTTAAAAGTGATACTTTCCAAGGGATTCTGTGAGTTGTCAGGTCTCCTGAAACAAGGTATAGCAGCACAGTCTGCAGCCACTGGGCTGTGGAAGAAATAACAAATTCTTAGAGAAAGTCTGGTGCTGAAAACTGCATAGATTCTCCTCGCAATTGAGACAAACACTCCATTAGAAGGACAAAGAAGAGATTTATTAAGTGCTATTTTTCTAGACGATGCTCAGAAAGTGTTTAATTTGCTGCCCCTAACTGATGAAGCCATTCCCTAGGCTAGAAAACTGCATCCTGGTAAATATTTATGTTCACTAATTTTTAATGCTCCTTTCCTATGCACTCAGTCTGAGGATGTTGATCTGCTTCTGGTAAGTGGTAGTGATGTTCATCTTAATAACAAGGAAAAGAAAATCAGTTCTTTTGTATGGTTGATACTTGTGTAGGTGATGTGTTGGTTGAAATAAAGCAGAAAACTTTACCATAACTGTCTTGTGAAAAAAAGGGTCATCATAATTTTTGAAAGATGACAATATGGAGGTCCAGGTGCAGTCATTGCACACACTCATATCAAGCATGGTAGGATAAAGCTTTCTTGTTGCTGGTGCTGTGAGAGCATGTAAACTTGTGCTGTTGAAGACGGTGCAGCCTTATGACTTTTTTTGGTGCTCTCTGGTTATTTTATCCTGCCACTCACAGGATTAGAGTTCTTCAGTGCAATTTTACAGTGCAACATCTAGTGCCCAGGAGTTAAAGATAAGTGTGTAACTGCTGTGCTACCTAACGCTCCTGAAGTTTGTTTTATTGCTCAAAAACAAAGTAGTCAGAGCACCATCTGCTGACAAGAGTTCAGTGTTCAGCAATCTCGATGTGCCCCTCACTGTCGAAACATAAAATCTGGTAGGACTGGGTTTGGGGTTTTTTCCTTTTTTTTTCATTTGAGTGAAAGGAAAACAATGGGAATAGAGTTTACATATTTCATTAGTTTTTCACACGATCTGTTCTTCTACCCACAATAAAGGCAATCTTACTTGTTACTAGTTCAGTTACCTAGGAGATACTGATGTAATGGGTTACTATGGTGACAACTGGTCTCTTGAAGGCTTGTAAATGATAGGGTTGGCAGAGTTCATAAAAGCCACATGTTAAAAGATTAATCTCTGTAAATTTGTATCAGCCTGTATTTCTCATGCACAAAACATACCCAGAAAGCTAATACACTTAACTGACTTGAAACGACTCAATAATATGTTTATTTTACTTACTTTAAAAGAATCAGAGGATAAATAACTCCCAGTCTGCTCAGTCATTGGCTACTCCAGTGGTTTCCGTAGCAACTCCTACTCTACCAGGGCAAGGGATGGGAGGATACCCATCAGCCATCTCAACAACATATGGTACTGGTAAGTATGGGTGCAAGATGTGAAGGGTGGAGGAGGGAGCGAGATGCTGACGAATGTCTATCTCAGTACTAATGAATTAGCTAATGTGTGTTGGGAGAAACTGAACAATTAATAGATGATACGCTTTTGCACTGCGTTTGCGTATGCTGTATGTGTCACTAACTTGAGACATACTTGTTTAAAAGTTAGCTATTTTGTTCAAAAGGAAAACTACTTTGATAGCTTCCTTTGGCTTTAATAAAAAAGTAACTTAAAAGACACTTCTTAATCCTCTTAATAGAACAGGTAATTTCATATAGTTGAATGCCCTTTCCTAAAGTCATAAGGGAGCAAGCAGTTTCACTGGCTTCAAAACAGAGTTCAACAACTTTGAGGGCTATCACATAGTTACCAGGGAGACACCATAAATGAAGCCTCCAGAGATCCATTCCAGTTCTCACTGCACATTGCTGCTGTATAGAGCATGCTGTCATGCGTATCTGATGCCCTTAGAGAAGCTGTGCACTGTTCAGACACAGGCTGAATTATTCTGCAAGGAAGCCTGTAACCAAATTATGATGTTTTTCAAGCCTTTGACTCTGTGAGAATGCATCCGTAGTTATGGTGGATATCCAGGCTAAGAATGCTTTGGATATTCCAGATCCAGAAAAGCCCTGCTAAATTACAGAATAGTTATTAGTGCATTATTTGCTCCCAAGTTAATGAGTTCAGGGAAGAGGAAGATCTACTTTTTCTGCTGCAACTTAATGTGATTGGTGTAATTAAAATCAAAAGGCTTATAAAGTGACATGTAAAAATTACGATGCTAGTTATTGTTTAATTGCTTCCTCTTTAATTCTCTTTTAATTATTGTCTTTTCTGTTTTCAAATCTAGAATATTCTCTGAGTAGTGCAGATATATCATCTCTCTCTGGGTTTAATACAGCCAGTGCTCTTCATCTTGGCTCTGTGACTGGCTGGCAACAGCAACACCTACATAACATGCCACCATCTGCCCTCAGCCAATTGGGGTAAGCAGTGTTTTCTTTATTTTATTGTTCTATAATGACTTCACTCTCCCCAGTGATCCCAAATCTGAAATATATAATGACAACATATCAGCACATATTCACTGTGTGTAAGACCTCCTTTTCCCAAAACTGGAACTACATATTTCATTAGAAGTTTGCTAGGTAGCTGCAGTGAAATATTCTGAGTCCATGATACTTTCTCAGTAGTGCAGTAAAGGCTACTGTTCATGTTTTACCCTTTATTTCTTTAAATAGCATTTTATTTTGCTACTAAAGACCAAACTAAACACTTAGATTGTGCTGTTGCTGTATTTTGCCATTTATGCTTTTTATTTCCAGTTACTATAGCACAAACATTTACGGTAAACTTGAAAATTTTCTAAATATTTTTAATCAAGAGTGACATCCTGATTTGACCTGAGATTAAGTGTTAACCTTACATAGTAATCACATACTCCCTCCTGCTCAGCTCTGACATTCAAGTTTCATTTATTTGGAAATATTTTCTACAAGCAAATAACATAATGAGGCCTAAGAATTGTAAGCCCACAAAACTCATTGTGATTTGCCAATGTTGAGGATAGGTATTCATGCCCTCTAGTGGATAATTTCAAGAAATTTATTCAAGATTGGTGAAGCAGACTGCTAAATCATTTAAGGATTTGTTTTAAGAGTGAAAATTCACATGGGGGAATCACCTAATGCATTATTGAAAAAGCAACCTATTGGCTCATTGAAGTGAACTTTAAGTATGATTTTCAGAAGTCCTGGTATCTGCAGTTTCTATTGAGTAAGACCGTAGGCATTGACCAGCACACCACATGTAGCCTAAATTATGGCTAGACATGTTTGAACTTTAAAAGTTTTCATTATAAAAATAGAAGCTGAAAACTGCTGGAGTGTATTTATGAGGAGAGATTTAATTCACATGCATTTGAAAAGTAAACTACTTCTTTTCCAGAAAGAGGTGTTGCACATATGCGCTATTTTTTTTTGTAAGATGGTTGCCATAATGTGAAACTATTTTAAACTGTAGATGTGGCTTAAACTTCAAAATTCTCCTTCTGATTTATCTGACCACTTTTTGTAACTTACTGTAATTTCTTTACCATATACAGACAGATTGGGGGTCTTTTTAAAGGACAGCTATACAAGTGATTCAGAGAAAACTAATTTTTTTTTAAGCTTCACTTCCATATAAATATATAGATACTAACTACATAAAAATATACAACTGAAATAGCTGCTGTGCTATAAAATACAGTCTTTATACTTTTCTTTTACTCTTCTGTTTTCCTTTTGAGTTTGCACTGTTTCTGGGGCAACATTCAGGCTAACTGTACAACCAAAGACATAAAGTCTCAAATAAATTGAAAACTCACATGTTAGATATAAATGTATAACCTTACAATAAGCTGATTGTTTTCGGTGGTGTACCAAAGAATGTAATAAGGCTATTTGGTTAACCAAAAAAGTATAAATTAAATCCTAAACTAACTACATGCCTTTTCATATATGTCACACATCGTCATCTGTTTCTAATTCATATCCCAGAATGTCGAAGTGTAATGGCTGTGGCTGGTGGAATACACTCTGAGTTACTACTTTTATTATTCTTTCAGTGATTTGTAAATTAATTCAGCTCTGAAAGCTTCTTCACTGACAGTTTTGGAGAAGTCTTCTATCTTTGCAGAAAATCATAAGAGTTCCTTTGTTTTATTTTAGTCACCAAGTTCTACACCTGTGTCAACTTCTGGATTATCTGAAAAAATTGCAAATATATAGGACATATTCAGTCCATGTCAACCTGAGCTAAAATTTGCAGGAAGATTAAATCACACAGAATTATAGTCATTCCTAGGTTTTGAGAAAATATACTAGAAAGCATTTGGCAACCCAAATCCCTGTGCTGAGTGAGGTCATATATTGAAAAGATTTCGTAACTGTGAGATGTTTGCTGGTAACAGTAGGCTGCAAAGACCCATGAGAAAGGAGAGTCACTAGAAGAGATGTCCTAGTTCTCCTACAGGTTTTGTTTTCCAATTAAGCCTGAAGGTGAAAACCAGCTGTGCTTCCTCAATGTGTGGCAGAAGAATATGGTTAGCAATAGAATAGGATGTGGTTAGATGTATTAGCTGGCTCCAAATAAGTCCCAAACAATGTCAGAACCATCTGCAAGATAATTGGAGTTCTCTACAACCTTGACTCTTAAGTCTTCATGTTGACTCTGCAATTTGCAACCATACAAGTGCCAGTGGGCTTGAGGGCAAATACCTGAGGACATGGGAGTCCTCATTTTCCCTGCCTGCCCAGCTTCTGGGCTTTTGCTGAGCCTGATGGCTAGGATAACAGTGTAGAGCCTGTTTTTCAATGACTATTGAAACAAGTCAGTTTTTTCAGCTTCTTAAATTAAAAAGCTAAATGGTGCTTTCACAGTCTTGTAAGTAGGTCTACATCTGGAAAAAATACAGACAAATTCTACTGAAAATCAATCCTTCTCAAACCTTTGAGATTTTGACTGAATATTGCTGCAATGTCTCTTACAGAGAGGATTACTGCTTATTTAATATGGACCAAAGAGTCTACCAGAAGTTAATTGGAGCGAACCAGAAGGGAAGTCCATTCCAAACTTCAAAGTAAATTATCTAAATTTTTTAGGCACAAGTCTATTATATGGAAAATGTTCTCTTTCATCCATATTTCCCAGTCTAGGAGAGACTTTTCTTCCATAAGTATCATCTGCAAGTGAAATTTTTGCCTTCCTAAAATATACGTGCAAACAGTATTTCATCTGAAGAATCTTCAGTATAGATAATTATTTACATAAAAGAAGTTTCTCCAAACTCCTACCCACCTGAACAAAAAAATGTCCAAATTCATGCATACTGTTAACTTGTTGTGTTACTCTTACATAGAAAGCTTATTATTTAGCAGCAGTTAATTTTGATTAGGTAAAAGCCATAGCTAGATATGGGCAAATATTCTCCACCGAACCATTTTTACTGAAAAATTTAGATGTAGTGACATAATGTTTTCTGAATTTGTATCACTTCTGCCAGCTTTCCTGTTTTGAATAAAAGTCTTACGTGTTTAGGATTGAGCCTTTTTTCTTATGCCACCATTGTAAATAAGATGTTCCAGTGATTCAGTTTCATATTATTCTTCATTTAGAATTTTTTTAAAGTGTAGGACTTAACATGTAAGAGCTAAGCAAAATATCTTGACACATTCTGCTTTTCGATTAATCAAAAAATACAGAAAAACAAAACTTTGCTTTTACTCAAAAGAAAACCAGAGGGGAGAAAGGACATTTACATTGTTAGCAAGTCAAAAATGTTCTCTATTTTCATAGTTACAGACTAACACATAACTGAAGTTATGTAACTAAATTTTGCAGTGAATTTTCAATGATCCCTTATATATATTTATGGGGAAAAAACTATATGAAGTGAGGAAGTAAGCTAAATTAGAGAAGCAAGTGTGGGCATAAAAGATAAGGTATGTGAGGCTCTTTGTTCCTTCAATAGACCACTATCTCGCCCTGCAAAAACCAATCTGGTGCATGTTCATGTCCTCACTTATGACCTACTCATACCTGCACCTTTACCTATGCATGCGGGACTTCTGTGGGAGATTTAAATAGATGGAGACACACACAGAGCTGATCTTACTGGCATCAGCAAGGACTAAATTCACTTGCAACCTCGTTGCATCCTGACTTGCTTCCCACCTTGCACATCTCAGAGCTGTGTAGCTGTTCAGTGGTGAACCCAGAGAGGAACCAGCATTTCTCCCTTGTGGTTGTTGTATTCTAAATAAACATCACATTTTCACTATGCTGGTCTCAATAGGAACCGCTGTGTAAAATCAAAACATTCATTTTCTTCACTGTCCACGTAAAATGAAATGTTTTCACATAATATATGGAAAAAAGATTATTATGTCAATAGGATTGGACTGCATGGCACTTATTGAGTGCTTATAATTATACACAATCCTTTGAAGTCATTTTCTTTATTTTCTCTGTGGATTTTCCATATTCAAAACCTGTTTGTTTTTCAGTGAACTTGGTGTAGGTTTCAAATGATGAAAATAGAGCATGACTGGACCAAAATGACATAATTATATGAATCTACAGTATAAAAAATGCATTGATACATACGAACAGCTGTTTCTGCACTCATACACATGCATATCTGAAAAGAAATCATTTTGTAGCGGACGGAATTCTCATTTTTTTATAATACAACTTCTATTCTAAATAGAGGTCAACCCTCTGTTTAGAATACAAGTCTAAAGACTGCACCTAAGTATATGTTATTTCATCATTCACATCTATATGTTACAGTAAGTTTCCCTTGTAATTGACCATTCTAGCTTATGAGATTCCCATTAAAATATTTCAGAAAATTTTATTGAAGTAATGTAAATTACCGTCACCAAAAACAGATTTTAAAATTCAGAAATAGTTTTAGCAGAAAAATACTATATTTAAAAAGAAAAAAATTTAAATGATAACTCAGAATAGTTGCTTGAATTTATTTATATTGTATTAAGCCTGAAAAAAAATAATCCTGACCTGCTAAAATGGCTTCTTAACCTTTTTTCAACTTAAAAAAAAGTGTTCAAAATGCAGATCAACCTGTACCACTTTTAAAACTGACACCAATTTGTATGCCAGGTATTTACATCACGCTGCTGATGAATCACAAGGAATCTAGAGAAAAGTCTATAGAGATGCATTATCATATTCACTTCTGAAACACTATTAAAAAAGCAACATTGCAGTACAGATACCAGCTCTGTTTCATTGAAAATGCAGCTTATCCCTCTCAATTTGTCCCTTTGGGGGCTGTCACACAGCAAGAATGTTCCATGTGAACAAATTTGGCTGAATACGGTTGGTTTTAGCTAGCATGAGGTTTTTTTAGCTGCCCCCAGCTTTGCAAAGTAACATGTCATCTGCTCATATCAGACACTTCCAAATCAAATCCCTAGGCTCCACGATCCTTTATTATGGGGCTTTCAGGTTTAGCTGTAAGCTTAGCATCTAAAATTGTATGTAATCTTACCATACATCCTAAACCGCAGCCTGTTTTCCCAGGTGAAGTCCTAGCATCTCCTAAGCAACTGAAACATAAAGTCACTGGAAATGAAAAGCAGAAAAACCAAAAACCTTCAGGAATGCATTTTTCAATTCTCGTTGGATTCTATTCAACATGTTTTCAGGAAAAGAGTGGAATATTTCACTAAATTGTAATGACAAAGTCTGATATTTACAGTTTCTTATATGTGTTAATAGTTACAAAAGCAAAGAGAATGTCCGCTTTGCCAAAAAAAAAAAATTGCCTACAATTGGTACTGTAAGGGCTATTACTCATCGACTCTGTGACTTATAGAAGTGGTTGCTGCAAATTTGGCACATTCATCTGTATAGCAGTGAAGGGTAGATAAAAGCAATCGGAGGTTAAACATCCTGTTTTCTCCGTTTTCTAACAAGATCCATCCATTATTAAAGACCACAGTAATTTCTGATAAAAGCAGCTGATATTGTTCAATACTGAAGCCGTATAGTTCAGTTTTAAATCTGTCAGAGGAAAAGAAAACATTTTGTCTTTCATCAAAGTTGTAGTAAATGTTCCATAAGTAAAGCTCAGTTCTCAGTTGATTAAATATCAGGAAAAGTGGAATATTTCTGTAAATGAAAAGACCACATCTAAAATAAGGTGTTTCTTCAACATGCTTAAAAATTACTTACAAATCCCACTTTTCTTGCAGTAAAACAATCTGCACATCCCTTTGGGTTTAAAATCTTAGGAGACCAAGTGATCTGTTGTCCCTACAGCCTTTGGTTTTCCCCTATATAAGTAAACGTTGAAGCTGTGTCTCTGGTGACAGGCACTAACTTCAGCCTAGCAAATGCTCCCTGAAGTGGGATGTAATGGGAACCGCATGTTGAGAGCTCTATTTTAATGACAAAGAGAAAAGTCAGGTTTTACCAGGAGGTGGTGCTTTTGTACAAAACATCCTGCAGACGCAAGTGATCTCATTCCTCCCACAGAGATAAAGTGCACTCTCAGCGCTGGCTCTCCTCCCTGCCTGTTTCAGCTTTCCTCTGCCACTGCCTGCCCACAAAAATGCACTTAGAATAGTGATATAGCTTTCTTTTGAAAAATGTGTTAGCGTAGCAGTTTCTCTTGATGCTTGGAGCATCCTCTGAGCTGGGCTCTCCTACAGGCAAACAGTGCAGTCCTCTGATGTCTTCCACTACCCTTCAGCTTCTCTTTGGTAGCATATTCAAAAGCACTCTGGATTGAGTTATGAATTCATAGATTTATACCACAAAATCATGTCTAAATCCTTGCCTGCCTGTGGTAGTTTATTAATACCAATCCTAAGACCAGCAGTTTCAACTGCATTCTGAAAGGTGTAAAATGTACCTGGCCCAAATTTTTGTTTCTGTTTTACATCCGAAGTCACATGTCAAAATGAACAGTGATAGAGATATTTGAGTGCATTCACAGCAATTGGATTAACCCTGGTAGAAAGTCTGTGCCTCCCCGTCTCAGCCAACGCATACATACACACAGACACACACACACACATATTAGTCATAAAGAAACCTGCAGGTACCACCTCCAACAGTGCAAAGGCTCGCCTTCCAAAATTCGTTGTGACTCTTGAGTCAAAAAAAGGAGAGAGAGTGAGTGAAAGCAAGAGCTCCTGTCAAACCGAGGGCAAGTCCCGCTCAAGCCAGCCACATTTGTGGCAATGCTTTCCTCTCCTTGAATTTGTGAATTCTGCCCAAAAAAACAGTCCTCATGCTCTCCGCCTGTGCTGGTCCCGCGCGAGCCTTTCCACTGGTGTTCTGTGTGAGTGTTTGTGCATATCTGGGGGCTCCATGCCTCCTCCGTCTGTAACTGGGTTTCCTTTCCTCCTACAGAGCTTGCACTAGCACTCATTTATCTCAGAGTACAAATCTCTCCCTGCCTTCTACTCAAAGCCTCAACATCAAGTCAGAACCTGTTTCTCCTCCTAGAGACCGTACCACCACACCCTCGAGATACCCACAGCACACGCGCCATGAGGCGGGGAGATCTCCAGTCGACAGTTTGAGCAGCTGTAGCAGTTCTTACGACGGGAGCGACCGCGAAGACCACCGGAACGAATTCCACTCCCCCATTGGACTCACCAGACCTTCGCCGGACGAAAGGGAAAGCCCCTCTGTCAAGCGCATGCGGCTCTCTGAAGGATGGGCGACATGATAACATTATTACCTATTAGGTTTTTGTTTTGTTTTGTTTTTTTTGTTTCTTTTTTTTTTCTTGCAGTGTGTGTGTGTGCTATACCTTACTGGGGGAGGGGGGGGTCGATATGCATTATATGTGCCGTGTGTGGAAAAAAAAAAAAAAAAAGTCAGGTACTCTGTTTTGTAAAAGTACTTTTAAATTGCCTCAGTGATACAGTATAAGGTTAAACAGAAATGCTGAGATAAGCTTAGCACTTGAGCTGTACAACAGAACACTTGTACAAAATAGATTTTAAGGCTAACTTCTTTTCACTGTTGTGCTCCCTTGCAAAATGTATGTTACAATAGATAGTGTCATGTTGCAGGTTCAACGTTATTTACATGTAAATAGACAAAAGGAAAACATTTGCCAGAAATGGCAGATCTTTACTGAGAGAGAAAGCAGCTGTTATGCAACATATAGAAAATGTACAGATGTTTTGACAGACCCAGCGGTTGGGTGACCGTGAATTGGTGGTAGAAAGAGACTGGGTCACCTAACATACCGAAAATGCTCACTAACATGCAGGCATATCATTAGAGTATGGCACTCAGTTAAAATGGATCAACATTTAAATATTTGAAGAGGACCATACTTGTAAAAACGTTGAGTTCGAGGGCTAACATATTTAATTTTAAAAATTCTGGGTCTGCATCACTTATTAAATAAAAAAAAAATATAAAAAATATGTACATTACATTTTGCTTATTTTCATATTAAAAAGTAAGACAGAGTTTGCAAAGCATTTGTGGCTTTTGTAGTTTCCTTAAGCCAAAATGTGTTCTTTTTTCCTCGATAGCTTCGCTAATCTTTTAAACAGTCCTGACGAAACAAACAAAAAGGACTTTTTGTATAGAAAGCACTACCCTAAGCCATGAAGAACTCCATGCTTTGCTAACCAAGATAACTGTTTTCTCTTTGCAGAAGTTTTGTTTTTGAAATGTGTATTTCTAATTATATAAAATATTAAGAATCTTTTAAAAAAAACTGTGAAATTAACATGCTTGTGTATAGCTTTCTAATATATATAATAATTATGGTAATAGCAAAAGTTTTTGTTATCTTAATAGTGGGGAATTATATTTGTGCAGTTGCACACTTAACTATTTTCTTTCAGTTTTCTTTTGCTGGGTATACATTTTACAGATCGAAGTAAGCTGTTGAGAGACTGATCTGTAAAAAAGTTAGAATTTACCCATGGTGTAACAACTTAAATCATTTTAATACAGCATTTTACAATCAGTTGGGTGAACTGCGATCCATTGTATATACTGATTAGTTCTTTCATGCTGTTTTGTGCATTGTAACAAGTTAAGGGCCCTTCTATTACTTAACGTCCTGCGTATCTTGTAGTTTTCCATGGGTTAAATGACAAAGCGGCATCACTTGGCCCTTTCTCATGAGCGAAGCTGGTATTCTGCCTGTCAGAATTGGATGTACAGCTCAAACGGCTGTCGGTCACGTGAGCGCAGGTGAATATTTGCAGAAGCAGTAGGGAGAGTTAAAGGGGGGGATCAGCACGAACACGCCTCTGATAAAGATTACTCCCCTCTCTCACAGATTTGAAACTCTTAAGAGAGATCATCAACTAAAGGACCATTCAGAAGCTGACTGGTCTCACACGGCCAATGTTGGCCATGGCGGCCCAGGTCCTCGTGGACCTCGGTGGTCGCGCTGTCTCGCAGCGGGCACGCTGCTGAGCAATGCTCCCTGTGTGCTTGCACCCAGGCAAGATGTGCTTCGGCATATGGCATCCACATTTTCTCCTGCCTGCTATCGTTCCTTTGATTAAAACAGCTTGACCAGAGGGAATGTATCGTTTCTGTAAGTCCCTCCTTGTTAATTAGAATAAAATGGTTTATTCAGATGTTTCAGTTGAACCTTTCTTTTGAAGGAGAAAAATGTTTAAGCAAAATGTTACTGCCATAGTAAAACCGTAATATTTCTCCTGTTTCCAAGACTCCTTCCAACTCTCACCTACCTACACTGACACTATGATGAAGGATATAGCTGCAACAGCTAAATATCAACACGGAATATCTTGTCAAGGGAAATCCACACTCTATTTCCCACCTATACATGCAGTTGCTGTGCACTGCTCAATGACAGAGTGTACCTCTCTGTAGTAATGACGAACTGACTACAGTGTGCATTAAGACATACATTTTTCACTTATCATGACTTTATAGAAGCCTGCCTTACAGGCGCTCTCAGCCGTGCAGGGGCTAGTGCATAATCTGTAAACTCTTTTTAGCGGAATACTGTGCTACTAATGCATCCATCTTATCTTGTGTAGCAATCTGCAGGGTAAATAAAAAGATACGCATGTTTAAAAAAAATTAACAAAAAAAAAAACAAAAAAAATAAAACAACAAAAAAAAGGTAAAATGGGGCCCATAATTAATTTTAAAACACAAAGAAACTGTTTTTGAAACCACTTTCTTCACCTTCAAATGAACCTATACTCATATTCTCTTCTGAGAATTTTAAACTTTGGTGTGTCAAAAATATGCAAATATATCACAAATGTACCTTGTCATTTCAAAAAAATTACAACTTTATCAGTATTGTAGTAGAAACTTGTCAGTGGGGAAGGGGATTTGGTCTATTGATATATGAAGAATAGCCATATTAATAGTTTACCTTGCGATTTGCCTCAGCAACGCATGAAAAAAAAGGAAAGATATCATATTTAACGAAGATGCAGTGTAATATATTACTGCAAGTAACTAAGCAGAAAGTAGCGTGAGAAGTATTGCCTGGGCAATTTATATTAACTCTGACAGTGATTTTTTGTATAAACATAAGTAGAACAGAATCACGTGAAAATAAATGCCAGTCATCCCTCTTGTTCCTGCTGCAGAGGGCAACTAACTTACTTATACTGGCAAAATTGTGGGGGATAATGCATATTTGCAAACTGATCTTATGATAAGAAGCACAACTTTGATTGTGAAGTCACTTTCTGTAAACTATAACTGTCTACCTTTCTTGTTCCTTTATCTGTACCTTACCATTTATTGTATTTGCAAAGCTAATTTGGGTTTATTGTGTGATTCCTTTGTATTTAAGGAGTTTGGGGCAGAGCCCTGAAAGAGTATTAACATTTACTTTACCTTAACCCATGCTATATAATGTTTTAGGCAACATTCTTAATTGTAAGTTCGAACACCTGAAGTGGCATTCTAGACAACTGCAAGTATTGTTATAGCTAAGCTAACCTCTATTAAAAGGTGTTGTCAGTTAGTGATTAATTGCTGGTGACAATTATATGATATACCCTACCTGCACAACCTGTATATTGTATGCATTGAGCCATTCGCAGTAAAGCTTTTGTCATTTCAGTGTTTTTCAAAAGTTGTGTTTTATAACAAAATGGCTTATATTTTTCCCAGAAGAGGAATTTAGCAGTTTTTAATGAATAATATAAAAATATCTGTTGTCCTCAGATCTTTTTCAGGTAAAGCTAGCGTAAGAATAAAAGAACTCATAGACTGTTTTCAAGGATGTCAACCCTTTTGTATTGTATGTGTTATCCTATATACCCTCTTTTATCTATAGTCCTAACAGAGCTGTTTTGTTTTCCTTCTTCCTTCGCCTTGAAGGTAAATGCTTTGTAATTTTTTAAAAGCCACTTGAAACCTCAATAAAGGCTGTTGCCTAAACATGGCATACTTCATCTGTTCCTGTTTGTGCCATCTGCTGTGATGTCGTCAGTTATATGGCATTAATTTCCTGCCACTACAGGTCTCTTGAAGGACTGATGGAACATTGGTGTCTGTTAGAATGCTTCAGACTGTAGATGTAATAAAAGGCTTTTGTTAATATATTTTAACCAAAGATGTGGAGCAATCCAAGCTTTGAGCCACAGACCTTCTGCATCAAAAGTATCTGATCGATTATTTTCTTAATCAGGTGTTGCATTTCTACCTTCCCTGCTCATACCTCAGACTGATCCGTACCTCAGTTTGATTCAAAAAAAGGTCAGTTAAGAAACTCGTTTAAAACAAAGTAAATAACGCAGTATCAGAGTCTTTTGTGGAGTAATTAATACCAGACCTGGGTCACCACAGGCATTACACTTGGATTGCTTCAGATGGTTTGTTGTATCCTTTTTTTCTTTTCTTCTTCTCTTTCATGGGGATTTGCTTCCATAAAACAATGGTGATAACAAAATAGCTTGTAAATGGGAGCATACAAGCATTTGCAACAAATATTAAAGTAGAGGCTCACAGCGGCATAAGCTGGACTTTGTCGCCACTAGATGACAAGATGTTATAACTAAGTTAAACCACATCTGTGTATCTCAAGGGACTTAATTCAGCTGTCTGTAGTGAACAAAAATGAGAAAATTTCAAAAGATTCTCCTGCTGGAAATAAGGTATAATTTGTATTTTGCAGACAAATCAGTAAAGTTACTGGCTTTCTTAGTGATATGGTGTCTGTGGTGCATTTTTTTATTAATTTAAGCAATGTAATGCATGAAAGAATCAGCTCTTTAAACAACCGGCAGCGTCCTCCAGGTCCCTTTACCCGTCACTTGTGATGGCTTAAGAAGCTAAGCACCTTTTTATGGCGCCCTGAGCGTATTGGTGCCTGGCCAACGCTGACGGCCCAGCACACACCACCCCACCAAGTTAGGGAAACCCCATCTCTGCTCTGGAAGTTGGCGTCATTTTGAGTGAGGCCGCCTGAACCTGGCCCTGTTGTCTGAGCTCGCAGAGGAGCGCAGTGAGATAATGTCTGGTTTTTGGGTACTTAGTCCCTGACGGGGAATCCAGACTCCCATATATGCATCTCCTGTAAATTCTACCCATGGGCAGAACCATGCAAAAACCCAACAACAAAAAAAAGTTTCTCTGTCAAAATCATGTATCATTGGTTCTATTTTTTATATATATTCTCTAACATGCTAACTTCATAAGGACTGCACCAGAATTAATCTATTCCCTTTTTGTATAGTTTTTTTGCTGTTGTTTTTCGATTTTTGTCCCCACTAGCATTTATAGTTTTGGAGTCTAAGAATACAAGGACCGCTTTCTTTCAATGAGATGTTTTTTTCATGCCAGAGGCAGACAAGCTATTAATAACTTAAGGTGCTTGGTGAATGTGACAGTTTCAAAAATAGCATTACAAGTCCTAGTTTCTAAATATGTTTATGGAGGAAAACAGCTGCGCTGTTATTTACCTGTTGCTTCTAATGACAATTTTTTTTTAAACAGAAATGTCTCTAGTATTGCGGTGTTGGACACAGCATAATAATTAGATGCTAAAACGAAGATTATATGCCATTGGTTTTACTATGTACTATGTTTTTCTCGAGTAAATAACTTTTTGTCATCGTTGGCAAGGATAAGGAAAATATTCCTGGAAATGCAGCCAAGGTGTAATACTCTATGAAATCTTAGAAAATACGTATCTGGGAGTCCTTGCTCCTGCAATCAGCCATCTGTGTGATTAATGCTGATAATGCTATACCTGCACTGGAAAAGAATTACTTGGCAAATAGAGTCTGTTGTATACTCTGTTTTGTCATTTATTACTCCAGAAAAATAACCGTACACATACTGATGACTTTGTTTTAGATTCTATGAAGTATATTTATAAAGAATTTTGAAAATTGCGTGTTGCAGTAGAATTAAGGAGGTCACCAGTTCTTTAAATATAATCTCTCACTTTAAGCTCATAGATGTCTTTCTAAAGAGCAACTCTGAAGTGTATGGTCTGGGATAACTTGATGGCATACCTTCTCCATCCAAAGCGTCTGCTTTCCCTCCAAAGTTTTTTCTGCTTTTCTTTAGCAAAAATCATCACAGCATCTTTTTGAGCTGGAAAGCCATGCTGAGACAGTTGCTGAATGTGCCTCAAAAGAGAGGCTGTGGGTTCTGTTTGTAGCTTTGCTTACTGTCAGCATGACCCATTCTCAACTCTAACCCTTCCTCTAGTGCAATGCCTGCATTACCACAGGTAAAATACTGGGGTGAGACGGTCCAAAGAGCAGCAAGGAGGAATGATTTAAAAACAATCAGCCAATTTAGTCTATAAACATCAAAATTATTCAGTTCATGCCTCTACTGACAAGTGTATCCTGTTTCTTATAATTCAGTGGAAATTTACCAGTGCAGCAAGGCTTTGCCTGCTCGTTGAGTGTTCCCACCTACACATATAAATGGATGTCCTGTTTTCTGCTGTCTCTGATTTTGGGGAGTTCAGACTGCTTAGACACAGCAAACT